TTTTAAGGAGCGTGGTCGACGCTGTCAAGGCATCGCGGAGTAGAGATGGGCAGGGCTGGCTGCCAGCGCCTGGCCAAAGTAGTCCGGACATCGTCCTTAAGCGGGTCAGTGCGTACAGTGACTGCAGGTGTTAGCGCAGGGGGTATAGTAGGCCTGCAGGGCAGCGATTTGGTGCTGGTGGTCTGTGGTTGTCTTAGTAGGGTGTGTGATTTGTTGCGCAGCAGTACTCACCAGAGAATCAGATTCTGGCGGCTATTGGGGTCACACGACCTACTGATCCCGAGAGCTGTAGAGCGGTGTAGGCACAGGCAGTGCTCGGAAGTGCTGGAGATGGCCTGTTCTCAGAGTCAGAGAGCGAAGGGAGTGTGGCTGGGCGGTATCGGGCTGGTTGTGCAGCCACAGAGCGTGGGGCTTCAAGGTAGAGGTCACCGTCAGGGTGTTGCACTGAGCGTGCCAGGTGAATTACGACGTTCATTGCGGATGTCTTTGAGTTGGCAATTTTCTCTACGCGGAGTGCACCGGCGACACCTTCCACGTAGACCCAGTGGCGTGGTGAGATTGTGCGGAAGGGGAGCTCATTGAGTTTGAGTGGGTACTCTGGGGTTGAGATGGTCGCGTGGAGCTCGTTGACGAGGGCTGGAGCGCATGTGCAGCGACGACTGTCAAGGATGCTGGGCCAGCTGGGGTGTCAGGTGATTTTGAGGTACAGGAGCTTCTTGTCGTGCTTGTTGGCCAGGCATCTGTTGCGCTGTTTGCCAGCAAAATGCCAGGTCCAGGGGAGACAGGGCATTGTAGGCGATAGCAGTAAGAGTTTTTGAAAAAGGGGTGTAGTATGGTGTTGGTTGGCAGGCAGGTTTGTAGTGTAGACGTTGAGGGGCTGGGAGAGTGTAGGAGAACAGGTACATTTATTTTTAAGCTCGAAGCAGGAAGACGCTGGGGATTGGTCATAAAGTTCATATTCCAGGGGCAGGAAGATACGCTAGGCTAAAACTAGACAGGACCTTACGTGGTGAGCGCAAGGATTGCATTCATGCAGAGGTGGGATGCTCATGGTAGGGTTAGTATAAGTACATGAGGGCTTGGTTCTACAGTGGGATGCATGATAGGGATGGGCACCTGGGACACACTTTTTCATCGATCGGCGGGAGGAGGGATCTAGCGCCCATCGGTGCCGCCCGAGAGGCGCTCAAACGTGGCCCATCGTCGAGCGATGATGGTTTGGGTGGTCTCAGGGCTTCTGTGTTAGGCCGGACAGGTCGTTATGACCGTTAATTTGAGGACTGTGAGACGGGTCTGTTAGGAGAGAGTGGAAATATGTGTATTTCGGGGTGGATGCGGCGGCTGGGCCGTGGATGTTGCGGCGCGGGTGGTGCGCTGGGAGGTACATTTGGCATGAAAGCCGCGTCATTGGCTTCCCCCTCGAGAGGGGTACTAGTCCCTCGGACCACTGAGAGGTCGACGCTGGGCCTGCCGTTTGGCAGGTCCTTTCCCGAGGGAAGTACTGAAGCGTTGAAGCGTTGAGGTTCTGGAGCTTTGTTTCAAAGTTTAATTAGTAAAACGCTGCCATGCGGTTACAGCATCCCAGCATATGCAACAGCTGACAAGGTATGGAGCCCAGTCCAGAAGACTATGAGCCTCGCCGCACACATTACAGGCCTCAAATGGCCACAAACGAGATCAGCTGTAAGCCATGCTTCCATTTCGTACAACCCCGTGTCTGACTATTCTTAAGTGGCGAGACGCTTTGCCAGTGGAGAACGAAAACGAAAGCTTGAATAACGGACTCGCCGCCGCTTGCGTACTTTGTAATACCTCTGTTCTGGATTCTGCTATACAATGTTCCCCATGTACTCGACTTTACTACACATTCCAACGGCCATACTGACGCTTAAACGATAAGGCCTTTCAGTTCGCCGAAGTTTAGCGTTCCCAGACCAGTAACTGGATCCCAACCCTCCGTGGCCTGTGTTATATGCCGTGGTTAGCTATGTACGTCCAGACTAGTTCCGTGACTCACATTAAAACCAGGAGTGCCGCAGCCAGGGTTGTTACCAGTCGTGATGTCGTTGAACCCCGCACCCTTCAGGCTGTAGATCAACGGATTGAGGAATCCGAGGCTCGGCATGCCCGCTCGAATTCTTGCGTCGTTCAACAAGGAGACGAAGCCCGCGAAGGTCGGAGCAGCGCAAGAGGTGCCGGCAATGTCTGTGGGCTGACCCTCGAAGAAGATGAGGAAGTTATCAGCCTGTGCTGCGACGTCTGGGTAGGCCTAATGTACACGAAGGTATCAGTAAACTGTTGCTCAATTTTGAACTCCTCGAGGCCATCAGTCAACTCACGCGACCGCTTCTGTTGAACAGGCCCGCGAACGTCCCCGGGGCGAGCGCGGCTAGGTAAGCTTCCACTTGGGCAGATTGGTACGACGGTTGCGCAAACTGTATCTCACGTTTGTGAGACTGCTATGGGAGCTCGTGCGCGGCACTCACGAAGTTGCTGAAGCCTCCGCCCGAGAAGAAGATAGCGGTTTCGGGGACATTAACGGTACCACCGACAGTGGTGACGCTACAAATCTGCTTAGTACGCTATATTAAGGGCAACGAACACCACTTACAATGGACACGATGCGGGGAAAGCGGGAAGAAACTCTGTTCTATTCAGGCCATCGTTCGAGAAGCACTCTTGGGTCGCAGGGTCAGGGTCCCCGTCTCCGACGCCGCTGTCTCCAGAACTGAACGTCAGTGTGACACCACGAGCACCTGTAAAAGGCCATCAGCAGTATTCAACAGCAGAGGAACTCAGGATTACCGAGCTGAGCGAAGCTGTTGCAGACTCGTTGGGCAAAGCTAAAGGGTACTGAACAGCGCCGCTGGGTGAGTGATATTCAAGACCACGACAAACACTATTCGCTCACCTGTCTGTTCATCATCTCCGTAGCTCGTGCTAGTGGACATGCATCAGTTGCAGAAGGATTACATCTGAAGATGGACGAAACCTTATCGTTTGTGGTAGATTCGGTTGGCTCAACACAAAGTCCACCCACTAGATGCCAAATAAGATTGGCTAAATGCCTTGGCTGACGAAATACTCACGTCGAGGTAAGGCTCATTAGTATCAGTAGGGGTTCCGATATCTGGGATGAACGGTGGACTACCTCCTGTAGTATAGAACGTGGCAGGAATTGGGTGCGAAATGCCGAACCCAAATTGAGTGTCTGTCGCATGTTCCATGAGCGACAAGAGCACCACGCAAGTCTGACGTGAACTGACCAAGGTTCGCCTCGCCACCCGGCTCACTTTGATTGTTTTGCCCGCCTACGTCACTCAATAATCGTAATATAGGGAGCAAGGCAGCGGCAAACCCACCATTGACGGAGATGACGTTGAAGGACGAGTTGACCGCGGCGGGCACCTGGTCTGCGAAGAATAGCTGCAGATCTTCGAAGTTGGCGAATTGATCGAGGTATCCCGTGACAGCGATGTGGTTGCCGGTGTTGGCAAGCGGAGTGTACCCAACCGCGTTGTATAGCTCCTTCAGGCATGTAACGGTGATCGTATTGTTGCAGCTGGCATCAACTTGCCCGTTCGAAGCCGACGGAACGTTGATGGCAGGTGCGTCAGTGGTAGCAGCTGAAGGCGCCTTGTTCTGGACGAAATGGGAGGTGGTCTTCATACCGCGGAAACGAGAGAAGAGTGTCGTAGGCTGGATGAGTTCCACATGTTCATGAAGGTGCTCCGGTACGCTATATGACGTTGTGCGAACGAGTGTGTCGCCATCGGAATGTTCCCAGATATGATATTTCTGCGAGGCGATTGATGTATTAATTGAGGCGTGGAGAAGGAGTGTAAATCAAGAATAACTGACCGCGTCGAGCATCTCTTCTGCCAGACCTACGGGAATTGTCACCTTAATCCAATCTCCAGCAGGAGAATGAGACAGGTCTTCCTGGTGAATGCCGTGCGCCGCAAGCCAAGCCTTTACATTCTCGACGCTTTCTGGGCGCGGAGCAATCAGCTCGTTCACCTCCGCTTGTGAAAGGTGTGCCCCGTAGCGTTCGTGAGACGGATCACTAGCAGTCGACTCTGAATGGACTGTTCTTCAATAATAGTAAGCAGCAATGATACTCACCTGACTTCATAGAGATGCTGCTCAAGCAGGGGAAAGTTTGATTGCGGAAGCGCAATACGCAGGTTGATGCGCAAATCCCTGGGCGCTACGTCTCGCTTGACCCATCCCCTGGGAGCTGCGATTGATTCCTTAACCCTGAGACTGGTCTTCGGAGAAGGAACCGCTACGGCAGACGCTGCCAGGACGAGCGCTGTCCAGATGGACGAGTATCTCATGGCGGGATTCGTGAGCAGCTTGAGCCCTGTTCGAAACAAGGCCTTCGAACCTGGCATATATATACTTTCTAGCAGAAGCCATCATTGTATGCTTTAGGCAAGGCAGCTCCCAACTTCACGATAGCCGACGGGCGGGTCATTGACGTGATGCTGATGGACCCTGGCGTGCGCCCATTCTCACAGCAGAGGTCGGGTGCACTCCTCGGTGTCGGGCAGGCCACCAGGTTTTGTGGGAAGTGCGCGGGTCACATGCGGCTTCAAAAAGGGCGTGTAGATCCCATGAAAGTGCGCGCACAATACTACCAGCATGGCGTGACGACGTCTCATATAGTCCAATTATACGTGCACAATTGGCCGTTGTCAAGCAAGCCTCCTTGACATCGGTACTTCTCCGGACAGCGGAAAAAGAAGTAAGCAATAGCTTACTGTAACGCACAGAACTCGGGTGCGCAGTTACCCATCTGGACGGGAGGGTGGACAGAGGTGTCAAATGGCAGTCGTATTTTGTTGAGGAGCAATACTGCACTGCCCCTAAATATTTCTGTACTGCCGTCGAATTAACTTAGCACATCAGCTCGCCAAAGGCCTGCCAGCTCGTGACAGCCCTAGCACAATCTCCTTGCGGACGCCGAAGTTGGGAGCACCAAAGCCAGCTACTAGGTTCCATGCGGCGGCCGCCTAAGCGATGAAACTGGTCAGCACGTCTTTCATCTGAAGGATATATCCGTCTCACATCGAACTCGGGCGTGCCGCGCGGTATCCAGGGTTGTTTCTAGTCGCGATATTATTAAAAGCACAAGCGAGTTCGGCGCTGGCATCAGTGTTGTAAATCAGCGGATTGAGGGAGCCCAGCGGGGATTCTCCCGCCCTGATACACGCGTCATGAAAAATTCTACCATATTTATCGCTTTCTCAGGCGTTTACATAGCCACAACATCTTCAAGCCGCTTCAACACGAAATTGTGCTTGCCTACACCTCTCGTCTGGCTCCTGTTCTGCCCCGGGCGCAATCGTTTGGATACCCAAGCTCTATGCACGGTTCACTCTCATAGACAAGCAGGTCTCTTGCCCAGAATATTTCGACTAGTTAGCAAACCTGAACGGCCAATAGCTGTTCTTCACAGAGCAGGTCCCGATCCCTGTCAATGCCAAGTTTTGTCGTCCTATGCACGCGTTGAAATACGCGTCTAAATATGCAGGTAGGAGGGCAAAGTAACCAGAGTGAACCAAATGGCGAGGAGAATCTTGGTGAGTCTTTAGTACTGTACCGGGATACCGTTCAATATGTCGAGCCTGTCTAAGACGCGCAATTTCTCTTCGGCATTGCCCATCCTATCTCTCCGACATTCTTCGCCGCCGGCAGCAGTCTTCCTTTTGTTCTCGATATCCTCACTCCCACGGATATCAATATGCCCTACCTCGATGTATCAACGTAAATCTTGGATCGCGTAGCTGGACTTCGTCTTGAACACTCCGAACCCACCCCAAACAATTAATTAAACTCTATCTCGGTCAACATCCTCCTGCCTAGAGCTCAATGACATCACAAGTTATGCAGACGCTGAGCAGAATGGTATGTCCTTGTCCTACTTGGTATGCGCTCAAAAGACTTTGCTGACGGCGGGCGTTAGCTCCCATCGCTCGGAAGTTTGTCAAGGTTTTGCTACGCTGGGTAAGTGAAGTCTAATATTGGGTGGGGGCTGCGCTGACGAGCACGAAAGGTGCGAAGGGCGTCCCGCTTACCTTCAGCTCCGGAGATCGCGGCGTGGGAGACGGCGATCCAGATCCCGCAACACAAGAGCGTTTCACCCACGACGGGTACGAAAGCCTGAGTTCAAGCCTTTATTCCCATCGTCCTGTCTATTGTGAGTGCAAAACTCCATTCGTGCGGAGGTCGCTGACAGGCAAACAGTGTGACCGCGGTCAGTGGTACCGCTCATGTTTCAGGAGCTCAATCTCTCGAGTCGTGAATTCTAATAACTTCGTGAGTGCAGCTTGTTTTCATAGTCGAAGATACACCGATCGCCCAGACTACTAGGCAGCTGCTCCGCCCAGATTCCTAAACAAATTGGCACCTAAAACTTGTGCAGGTTTATTCGATCCGCAAGTGCTTGTGCATCCAAGAGTAACAGCGGTCACTGAGAGACATGGCCCAAGAGCGGACACGTGCGTTTCTGTCACGCATATCTCTGCCGCCGCTAGTATGTACTGACCAAATGTCTATTCGGGCATCCTAGATTTCGCGACTCATTCTCCAGGTTCATGTCCTTGGAGGGCACGAAGGAGAGATTGGGTACAATATAGAGAGAGAGAAACGGAAAAGGCAGCTGGCAATGTCAAGCAGAGGTTGAGGTGTAACGAAAATGAGGCCTGAAGCCGTGGGAACGGCGGCAACCCTAACCCAGCAGCGCTGCCCTCCGCTGCCGCTTCCGTATGTACACAGAATCACCGGTACCGTGACTTCCTTATATCTTGCCCTCGACCTGAACACGGCACATGCAGTTATCCGGCTCAAGCTAGGTTGTCTGCTGTAATCTCTACAATTTGCCTCGTTTTCCATGTCTACCGACCGCCACTATGGTTGCACGCCTGGCTGCGGCTCCATACGCCAATGAAATGCAATTGGCGACACCCCGCAGAGGTTCCGGTTGCGCGAGGGAATGGCGTCTGGACGAAGGTCTGTGCGACTAGAGGTCCACTTGAACAGAAAGTGTGCGGAGGGAGGTAGACGAAGTGGTGCGTGCCAATCCGCGAGTTTGATGATGATTCTTGGAACTCATGCTCTCGAGGACTCCTCTTCCTTCATGGACGTTATAGCATCCGCAAAGAACTGATGACACCCCCATTGTTCGACGATAACCTCTAACAAACAAGATCTCGCCTGCGCCAACTTCGCTCCCAGCTTCGCAAGTCATCATCCTATCCTCATGCTAACCATGCGGTCAGATGGAAGTGGTGGAGCTGATACCCATACTGACTTTGGTTATGCGGATTGACAAGAGCGGCGACTGCTTGCTATGCTCGGGATTGAGCGGCATTTGAGCTTACGCCAGGGAGACATCGATGCATTTCCTTGGGTTCATGGGCGAACGAGCGCAGAGCACGACGTGACCTTTGTTCAATGAACCTGTGTAATCTTTTGTCTCATACGTACTTCTGTCCTTTCAATGATAATAGCGATTCATATACCTCCAACGGGGCATGCATGACTTCGAGTCGACCCCAGCCGGCTTGGTTCGGAAACCATGCATAAGGTAGGCATTGCTGCTTCTTCGCTGATGCGTGTGCTTGGGTGGGACTCTACACCTGCCACAAAGACTATCGCAGCTGCATCGGAGAGTTGGGCGTTATTCCTACTAGGATAGGCAGAGATGAAGCTATCCAGCCCTGGACTTGCAGGACAGAGTAAAGGTATTTGGATTAGGTGGTCATTGTGGTCGTTACTAGCGCGAGGCAAAAGAAGCGGTGGGGCCGTTTATACAGTTCCAGTTCCGAACACACAGACACGCGATCGAGTCTTCTTCCACGAAGGTTTCACACTGAGCAAAGTACTATATTACAACAGGATGACGATGAAAATGATAGCAGAAAAGCAAGCTAGGCATCGAGAGAATCTATCCCGCCTCCTTAAGGGACGTAACGGAACATAGGAGCCTATGGCGGCGGCGTTCAGGTTCAAATCTCAAACGCGGCGGATGTAAACACCACTCACCTTGTCTGCAAGTTCACGCGTGTCTACGGTCGCATCTGTGTTCTCCACCTTACCATACTTACAATCGCGCTGGTGGTTATCAATTCGATACGATACCTGGAGCCGGACGCGTCAAGAGCTGGTTCAGTTCAAAGACAAAGTCCGCACCGTCAGGATAATAGCGGCCAACACGCACAAGAACTCTAATGCGCAGGAAACGGCGAAACCTTTCGTGTACCGCGGGCCCTCGCTTGCGGGGAAAAGATGGCTTCCCAGGATACTGCCGAACTGACCAATGGCCTGGTAAAGCGGGACGCCTGTTGCCCGTTTCGTCTCCGACCCAAGGTTGTGCGCGACTGCGAGAAGCAGTCAGACTTTCTTGTATAACATTCAATATTAATATACACTTACACCAAGTGATAAGGATGCCAATGATCGTATAGGTCCCGCTCGTGATACAGAATGTAGCAAAGTAGCGGACGTGAATGTTGTGTGCCGCTAGGAGGAGGATCAGGTAGCCTACAGCTCCGAGAACACTGGCTAGCGCAACGTAGAGCCCGCGACTTTGGAGGCGATCGCTGGCAAACGATACCAAGCATAAAACGACAGCGGAGACGGCATACGGTGGAACTGTAAGTAACTGTGCACGAGCGTCGGCTAAAAGGCATGTCAGAGGATGCCAATACCATCCAGCGACACGAATCACTTACTGACTCCGAATTCCGAGATGATTGTGGGCAGAAAAGCAGAGATTGAAGCCAGCGAACAATTCGCTCCAAAGAATATGACACCGGCCATATACATCTTACGGGGATTAGCACAGATCACGAGCCATGGGATGGCCTGCTCACCCTCCAATCTTTAAAAGCAGCCTTAATATGCGCCTTATTGATCGTCCTACCAACATCTGCCCGGAGACCTCGGTTCATTCGCTCGAGCTGGAGCCGTCGCTCGGCCTCAGTTAGGCATGATGTCTTGTCTGGACGGTCAGGTAATATCCATATTGTGAGCAGTCCGAGGCAAATTGTAGGAATGCCCTCAACGATGAACAACAGTCGCCAGTCGGAGATAGCAGCGTGTATATGTTGGATGCCGAAGGCAATCAAACCACCGAATGCACTGCAGACATAAGGTTAGACGTCATACATCAAGCTTGAAAGTAGAGGCATGTGCTCCACACGTACCCCGCCACCGCGGCAAATCCAAACCAGTACCCCATGCGGAAGCCCATCTCATGTTTCGTATACCACATGGCTAACTTATGCGTTAGACAGGGTCTCGATTGACATGCAGATCTCACGCACCCATATAGATTGGAACTGTAAGGCTCGGTCAGTATGTAACAACGATATGCGAGTCTGTAACGTACTTCCAGGACCAAAGGCAGACTCGAAAGCTCCAAGCGAGATGCGACAGACCATGAGACCCGCGAAGTTGAAGCCCGTGGACATCAGAGTTGAGGACAGCCCCCAGCCAACCGCCGCACAGCCGATCCATAGATTAGGTGGAAACAACTTGGCGGCAATTGTCACGGGTATTGGACAAAGAATCTGCGGAGGGCTCCAGTGATAGACGGTACGAAACGAGAGAGGAACGCACGTATGAAAAGAAGAACGCTGAGTTCACCCAGTCAAAGCGCGTACCGGTGGGGTCGCCCCCGAGAGCATCCTGTGGCAGACCTTGCAAGCGGGCATTACCTAAGTTAGATCTGTCCAAGTCTGCCGAATGTTCAGATCGTCATAGTCAACATTGCTGGTGTTTCAACTCACAAGCAAATAGGTACACGATGCACAGCAGGGGCATGATCCTCAAGTCGAGCTTTCGCACAAGCTTTCGCTCCTCCTGCGACGTCTCCTCCACACTGCCGCTCACAGAGTGGGACTCGACCTTCTCTACGTCGAGCTTGTCGTCTACGTGGTCGTGATTGTCCGTCATGGCCTCTGGGTAGTCTAGGAGAGGTTCGAGCTCGAACACCTCATATGACGGGCGTTGGGTCATGATCTATATCACCGTGCATCCATTCTATGCCTTCATCTCTCACAGGCCCTGAGACTGAGGGAGCTTTCGAGGCGCGAAGCCCCTTGACGTGCCCACGCGCTCTCAGCGCATGGCGCGTGGGGAAGCAGCAAAGGTCATTTGATGATGGAGCGTGGGGATATAAAGTTTGCGCGGAAGAAGTGTAAACCCACACCAGGTACCACAACCAGGTTTGGCGGATGTGCTCTGTGGATGCCACAGTGCGAGGTCTGCTGGTGGAGGCCACAGGCGCCTCGCCACGTCCCTGCCGAAAGGCGGCGCGAATGCGCCCAAGGCAGGCGCCCAGGTCCCATGCCCATGCCCATTACTCACCGGCAAACAACCTTTCGTATCTTCTTCACACTGCTTTCAGTGCAAGTGCAACCTAACTCAAACTCAACGTATACTTCGATGTAACAGCACCTTATTTCAAAGCAACAGCCGGATCGGCTAACCCAAGGGCTAAACGCTCCCGTAGGAGCACACCCTCCATGAGTTTTGAGTGCCATACAGGCTTGCGCACGACGTAGTCTGTGATCTGCTCCGCAGCCAGCTCACTGCCCGGGGAGGCCTTCAATGGCTGATTTGTCTCAAGGCGCTGCCGACCTTCGGCCCGAGGCCCTCCAGAGACACACGATTGAATTCCAGCAGGTTGAAGATGTGCGACGGACTCATTCGCTGTAGTACCAAATTGGCTTGACCGTTCGCAAGGTTTCATGTATGTCACTCCTTACTCATTCGGGTATAGGAAGGTGATCTGGCCAGAAAGGTACGTCAGAAGCTGTACGCGTGTACTATTGAAGCTTGAGCGTAGTCTCAACTAGCTTCTTCGTCAGCGAGAGATAGCTCTGATGGCAATAACGCTGTGCCAAGTCGTGTCCGCTCAGTGCGAGCCCCTGGTACGCCCCTCGGAATGGCAGCTCGACAGGTGAACAATGATCAAATACACACGATCGTAGACCGCACAAAGCCGATGGCATGCTGAGGTGGATGGCGCGGTGCAGGATTCAGCTTCGAGAGTGGTCGTTGTTCCGTTGGAGGCTGCATCGCCGCGGAAGGCAATGGTCCATGAAGGTGCAGCATTTACAGCTGTGCATGTATAGAACTCGTGTATCGATGTAGTTGAAACAAGTGCTTCGACATAGCCGCGGGCTGAATCTGAAAAAAGTGTGCCGTATACATCAATGAGAGCGAAAAAGAGCCAAAATCGTGAGCACGCACCGCAAGACCTCAACGCGTTCTCCGTCTAACCTTCTCCACAAGCCATCATACACTCCATTCGTGGGACGACAGGCTCTATAGGCCAGACAGTTGAAGCCTTAGCGCTTTAGCTTTGATATACACGAGCGCGTTTCGTGAAGGATTACGTGCAGCAGCCTGCATGCGACAACTGACACCGGGACAGGGCGAGAAATCGAAGCCAAATGAGCTGCAGCTAAACCAAATCGCACCCATAAGAAAGTTTCTTCTGTAAAATGTCGTTATGCACCGTATATGTGGCCAGACTAGGACAATGAAGCTGCAGATGAGCATGTTGCCAGGGCCAAGGCGGCCTGTACACGTCGGTCGAGTTGAACAACATCAAGCAAAGGAAGAGGTATGCCAAAGCTGTAGTGTTTATAAGACAGTTGGTTGATACCAAAGCACTACAAGAACTCGAGGAGGCAGCTGACGATGCGAAGCGAAAGTCGGGTGGGGGCGAAAGCGAGAGACCGAAGTCGTGGGAACGATATACTCGCTTCGGATGACCGAGCCTTTGTGGCGCTAGCCCCTAACCAACGCTATGAAGCATCAACCCGAACAACGCCGAGACGCGGAGTCCGCCGCCTTCAGCCAAATGCATCCCGCGGCATCTCGCCGCATCTCCTGGGATCGCTGTTCTTACACATGTCATATTAAATGCAGAATTAGACGGCCCTAATAACGCCAAGAAGAAGCCACGTCAAGCTACTATCAGGCAGGCTTTACTGCGTGTTTTTATCTCAAATTTGGACCAAACCAAAATGGAGCATTCCCTACACTGTAGACGACCGGTGTATTTGACTAACATTTCAACTATAGATCTCTTGCCATCTAATCGCTTGGGTCCAGACCTTTATCCACGTGATGGAGGGAGTCCACAGGCGCTCGCAGTCTCGCAGGTGTGGCCTGTGCAGCCAAAACGCCGATATCCGAAGCAGAGGCCAGACCATCCTTGTCAAACTACCTTCGGCTTGGTTTCTCTCCGAGCATCCCACACTGTGGAGCTCTGGCTTGCCACCCGTGATTATTTGTCTCCTCGAATGGACGGCAGGCGTTGAGATAACCCGCTGTCCGGTGGGTTACTGAGGCAGTAGTAGACCCAAGCTTCAGGTACGCCCCGACGGCGGCCAAGGTACGAGCCGATTATTGTGCCTGTAAGTCGCCTTTGTCCGCTCACTATAAACGGACAGCCATGGGAGGACGCTTGCGAACCAGGCACCAATTCTGATGCCAAGGGCATCAAAGCTCTCCACCATGTTGCAATGCATCAAACGGCTCCCCTGCGTTACGCAAGGTCGGGCAAGAATGAAGGGAACGTCTGACAATCAAGACGCGCGCATCGAGGCCTGGGCCAATGCGCTGCTCGCTACGGACGTGTGAAGCACGAGGCGGCTCAACGCCTTCACCGTTGGATATTTTGCTGAAGTTACAATTTCCTCTCCGTGCTTGTGGCGTGATCCGTTGCACTTCTGAGAAAAGGAAGGAATTGGACGGTGCAGGTGATTTTAAATCAGTCATCTGTCTTCCGGGTGTACGGTCTGACTGGCGGTCTGTTCACGGCGCATATTAGAGATGGACAACCAGGATTAACTGGTCACCCCCTCAGAAGCCCGAAATACTGATATATTCTAGTTCTCGTATCACTATGACTCTGCTGCTGCCTAATTTTATAGCAGCCTTATCGGCCTCCAAGGGCAAAGTGTGGGCGTCTTTATACAGGTCCACTCTATCACAGCTTAGCGCTCAGCGGCGGCTTATCCACAGCGCCGCGATTCTAGCCCAACTGCGACGGCTAGATGACAACGGGGCTGCCATCCGTCAAAGCTTGCTCTACACGACGAGACATTGTAATGGAGGAATGGAAAAAAATACCCGACGTGCCTGGTTTGAGGTGTACAAGCTAGCAGAACCTTGTGAGTCCATCGGTGGCACGCACGGATTAATAGTGGGCCAATGCCAGCACGTTTTCAAAAAATGACTTCTGGAGCGGTCCACCAAGCACTAGAAAGCGCTGTAGCTTTGCTACATAAGCTGCCCTGGATCGTCGCCGTCTACAAGTTTCTCTGCACTCCTATACAGCTCAGGCGAAGCCTACCGCCCATCCGAGAACCTCTCTCAGACCCCGAGCCAAGTGTTACCACAGAACCCAGATTTTCCGCCATGTCCGTTAATCCGGTATGTTAAACGCTGTCCTCACATAAACAGGAAGTCCCCTGACTGACCGCGTTGTTGCAGAGGAGTATCACCGTGGCCGCTACCAACTACCCCGGTGGCATTCGATGCTATACCAAGATTCCTGGAGGCGAGGTTCGCGAGGCCTCCCTCGCACTCTCGAACGACGCCCTATCCAAGGCTGTCAGCGACGGGAAATCCGGTACGAACACATAAAAGCTCCCCGTATCTTGAAGCGCTAATTTGCGCATCAGACATCGTCACGTCCACCGCAGGCTGGAAGTCGAGCACACTGCCGTTCAAGTGTCACCCGCAGAGCACGCTCTGCACCGTTTCTGTGTGTCGTCGTGATTTTCTTCTGACTCCGCCCTTTCTGATGCGCGACACAGTGGGACGAGAAGGATCAGTCCGTCTTCTACCAGGACGAGACCGGCGCGTTGCGCGAGCAGAGGTTCACGGAAGGCAAGGGATGGAAGCAGACCGACCTCAACCAGAAGAATGTCAAGCTCGGCAGCAACATCGCGTCCGTTTGCTCGCCCAAACACGCGAAGGTCATGCTCTTCTACCAGCATGTGCACGGCAAGATCTGCTCCTTGTGCGTGGCATGAGCGGTCCTGTGGAGACATGACTTGACATCGGTTTAGGACCGGCGAGAGTGGACGTTGGATGGAGCCTGTTACGCTCGGAGGCTCTGAGGCCTACGCGTGCACCGGCATTGGTGCCATCGAATGGGATGGTAAGTGCGCTGGTCTCGCATTGCCGGGCAAAGACTCATCATTTCGAACATGCAGACCTCAACCATGTGCGCATTTACATCCAGCACAAGAACTTCCATGTTAGGGAATGGTGCAGGGACGCCTCGGGCAAATGGTGGGAGCACACCACGATTTCTTCGGATTCATTTCTGAACCGTACATCTAGGACTGTCACGGAGAGTTCCGTTGTCAAGACCGAATTCCCCATCGGCGATATCACCGCCATTGCTTGGGGAACGGCCTCCAACCCGCAGATTCGGTGAGTCTCTCTATGGCATCTTCATCTGCAGTATGTTGATGGCTTCGATTACAGACTCTACATCCAGGACAAAGACAGCCGCATCGTCGAATATATGAATAGTGGCGCGTCTTGGAGCAAGTAAGTACGCGTCAAGATCAAGCTCTGCCGCCGCTTACACTCATATCAGGGGCGAGTTCACTCAGCGCGTCATGCCTAACTCGGATGTCATTGCATTCATCCGCAAGGTCAAGGCTGGCCCTGGATTCTGCATCAATGTCATGTGGGCGGGCCAAGACCAGGTAGGTATCTCCTTAGCAATAGCTTCTTAGCGATTCTGACAGCTGCTCCGCAGATTCTCAAGCAGTGCATTTACGATGGACACAAGTGGCTCAGTCCCGCAGACCTCGCCTACCTCGGATTCCCGGGTAACTGCCCCGGCGTCTGGACAAATGCCACAATTTTCTCTGGTGCGTGTCTTACGCGGCATTTCACAGGATCAGCAGTTGGCGGGATGCTGACGCTGTCGCAGATGAGCTGATTGCTACTACCGTGGGAGCCGGCCAGCTGCGCAAGGTTGTCAGGGAAGTTCACATACACCTGAAACGCGACATCAGGGGTATAGGAGTCCGCTATGCGGACAGCGATAAACCGGCGATGCACGGTAACGATGACGAAAGTGGCTGCGAGACGGAGGTCTTCGAGCTGCCGGCGGACGAAGACATCACCGCTGTATGGTACCGGACGGACAGACGAGGACTCGCGGGCATCCAGTTTGGCACTTCCGGCGGTGCGTATCTGCGCGGTTTTCCGTATTTGCACGTGGCGAGGCTGATGCGGCGGTCGCAGGTAATACCTCTGGCTGGTTCGGCAGTAGGGAGGGCGAATTCGGCTCTTGGAACGGCGAGGGCCATGCGCTCATTGGTTTCTTTGGCGCTCAAAGCAAGCAGGACGGCATTACCGGCCTCATGGTGAGTGAATCCGCTCCCTCAAAGGTACCGATGCTGACTCGTTCGCGCGTAGCCTATCTGGTCGCAAATCGAGATCTCTACAAAGCACGAGGAATACAAGCCCAAGTTGGCCGCGGCAAAGGGCGAATTGCTGCAGCTCCCGAGCGAGCTCACGAAGGTGACACAGCAGGCGGGCAAGCTCCAGGCGCAGTGGAACGCTATAGAAGGGCAGAAGAAAGCCGCAGCCTCTGCGCTCGCCGAGCTGACCGAGTCTGCCGAGATCCTGTGCAGCCTCGAGCGCCAGAATGCCGACGGACAGGTCAGGGTGACCAAGCGGCGCGAGAAGTTCGTCGCCGATCAGCTCAAGGTCTGCAAGCAGGATGCAGAGGGAGCCATAGCTTTCTTCGGCAAGATTTCTGAGCTCACTGGCGCTGTCTCTCCAGCTGCAGAGACGGTCGGTCCTTCTATGCGTATGCATGCTACACTCTGCTAACGAACGGCATGTTCAGCTTGGTGGTGCGATTAGCGGCTTGCACAAGAAAGCAACTCAGGCCGATCTCAAGTCATTTATGGAGGGCGCGCTCGAAGATTTACAATGCCGGGAACGAGAACTCCGGTACGTGCTCGCTCAGTTTGAGGGCGTTCAGTTCAGCGTTCAGATAGCATCAGAGAGGATCTGGAGGAGCGCCAAGGTGATAAGACACGAGCAAAGGGAGGCGTAGAAGATGCCGCGAGAAGATACAAGGAGAAAAGGGACAAACAAACCTCCAAGCAGACGGCAGTGCATGAACATAAGGTAGGCGGCGCTTTTCTGATGGAGAATCCCAGCTTGTCGCTAAATCGTCTGCATAGAACGTGCAGAACCCATTCGGCTCGCACATCGGGCATGCACACGAGACGAAAGGAAACAGCATCCTAGAAGAGGCACAGGAATATATAAGAGATGCGCAGGCGAAGTTTGACTATCACGCCGCTCGGTGTGACTTCCTGGAATACTGGGCCACGCGCGTCGGCCGCCAGGCCAAAGAGCTCCAGCAGGCTCTAGACCAGCTCAACGGCGAGCTCAAAGCATCCGCGGTCAAGAAGGTCGTTGATGAGGTCGATGCGCTCGGGACGCAGTGCGCTGTTTGTGCGAAAGAAGCCGCGGAGCTCGGCACACTGCTGAAGGCACTCGAAAGTCTTCTCAAGCAGCTCCCGGGCAAGACCGACTCCAAGGGTTTCGCGACGGCTCTACTCCCCATTATCGAGAAAGCTGGCGCGCATGCTGGTCTGAAGACGCATTTCAAGGTGGAGGTCGATACTATGCTCGCCGTCACCAAGAAGATTGTCGGATAGATGGCTGGTTCATGTCTCGGCTTCGAAACTGTATTCCTTGTGTCACTAAACTCTCTTCTTGCGTATCACACTGCATTAGGGTAATAGCTTGGTTTTCATAGAATCTCCACTGCGGCTACTCCTTTTAACTTACTAGGTGATAGCGGAATACATGCCTGTTAAGTCCTTTTGTGCCGCAACTTGGTGGATCGACTCGGATTGAGCGAGTAAGGCGCTTGAGGAGCGTTCTTATTGTGGGAATAGTTCACGCTGCTAAGGAGACTTACTTAAGACGCAAGCTTAAGTTAACAAAGTTGAAACATCAACTTCGCCTTCCAACCTCCAGGACTTCGCGTTATACAAGCACACAATTACATTCACCTGCTCGACCCGCGGGGCATACAGCTCGCGAGGAGCATCCATTGTTTAATGGTCCCTCTCCCACTGCCGTCGGCCGCGCAGCGCACGTCCCCACTCATGTCTCGGTCCTGCGGTCGGACACCCACTCTCGTACCGACCCCTTGCCGTGCACCTCTTCGTTGGCGGCATGCACGAACAATAACAAGCGTTCCCGTCATGGTGCCGTCGGCTTTACGCTCGAGTTCATTCGTACCGCTTGACTCAAGTGCTGGTGAAGAGGAGAGGAGGAGCAATGCGAAGCACCAGTAAGACCAATATTCTCGCGAGACGACAACGTCTAGTTTTCCGTCATAGAACTTGATGTGCCTTCAGTTAAAAGCGTCTCGCGACGCTCGTGCGCAACGTACTCCTCCTGCTACGTCCTTGGTCCGCGGCGGCGGGTGTGAAGAGCTCGGACATCGCAGTGACTGAGTCTAAGCTCAAGTTCGGAATGCCGAGGATGGAAGATGATCGTGAAGAGAAGTTTGCCGAATGCCCAAGGGGGGACGAACCGGTCTTTACCTACACATGCGCGCTGGAGTCGTCGCTGAGTTATTTCTCGTTCACTATGGCTCGCTGGGCCAGCGTACTACGTGGGTATCATGGAGTCTTTCAAGGCGTTACGAGCTCGCAAAGCCGAAAGCCAGGGCATGGAACGAAAGACGACAGCGAACGCGTTTGAGAGCGCTGAACACACGACTCAAAAATTCGCATTCTCATGTCTAGCAAGTGCAGTTGTTTCCTAGATGCCCTGCTGCCGCGCATCGCCTTCAACCCCTCTCGACTACTCACGTCTGGTTCCAGCCCTACCATCATTGCGTGGATCTCATTTTCTCCTGTCCAGCTGCCTTCACCTCCCCTGCCGTCTTCGTCTGTCCCGTTATCTTCGCCTGCCCTGCTGCCACAGGGGATGGGTTCGACTTCTGATCGCTCGACTGCGAGTCTCTTCTCTCCTGAAGCTTCACGAGCCTCGGGTACTTCGGGACATCCTCGGGTAGAATGAACAACCCAAGCGCGACGATCAGCTCGTCTGGGAAGGAAGAATAGTCGCTGCCGCCGTGCTCAGCGGACTCCATGATCTCGAGGCACTCTCCCGCAAGCTGTCGATCGTCGGCAAGCAGCTCTTCCGGTGTGCGAGGTCTAAGGAGGCTCCAGTATTCTGACGTATGATCAGCTTGCCACTGCTCCTCCGCGAAGTACTTGCGCAGGGCGGTGCCTATTTCCTTCCAGAGGCTCGCCCATGTCGCTGAGTTCGGACGCTTCGTGCCTTGGCCCGACGAGTCTTGCCTTGTCGCGAGCTCGGCATCTCGATTGTCTTGCTTCGTGTACAACTGGACGTGAAGGAAGCAGAAGCGGACTACGTCCACCGCGTGATATACCGACCTGTCATCGTATAAGCCTTTCGTAAATAAGTCCATGGCCCATGCTGAGCTCTGAATCATCTTTTCCTGGTCTGGATAGAGTAAATAAACAGAGGAACGCCTGTCAGTGAAAGCTAGAGAACGTACCACGACTTCCGGCGAATGCATCCACGCCTAGCTGCAGCGTGTATGCGCGCGATCCGTGTGTATAGTGACGTAACGCCGCGAACACGTACATTATTGTCAAGTAGGTCAGACGCTTGCTCCCCCAGAACGTAGCAACGAGGGCGAGCGCATCCGGTCTCCTGCCCACCTGGTCTGAGAACCCCATGAAGATGTCCACGGCCTCCCACACACAGATTTGACTCGTGGATCGGGCGTGAGCTGTAACAATAATATGAAGTGGGTGAAATTCCAGATATCGTCTAAGATAGGACGCGCTGCCTGATGCGCGAAGAGGTCCGGATCCTGAGACAACGCATTATACAGAGATGGCGTCTCGGCTCCGGGAGGACTCGAGCGGTACGGGCGAAGGATCTCTGCATACATGTTGTATATTGCGCGCAGAGAGGGAATATTTTGTCCGCTAGGCCCGTATACGGGACGCAGCAGGGGAAATAGTGGGCGAAATATAGCATTCCGCTTCTCGACGGTTGCCGGGGCTATCCACTCAGCGATCGACTTTGTCGCGTTGAGCCCTGCTCCAGTGAGAAGTCCACGAAGACACGCTAAGGCAGAGCTAGGGAGTAGGTGTGGAGAGCTAGAGAGGAAGAGTAATATTGTCATGTGCAGCCAGTCAGGGCTAGAGACAAGCAATGATCCACCAGGCTGACGACGGCCTGCCAAGTCCGCGAGCATCTCCATGATGCTGTACCATGCTCGATGGGACAGCGAAGTGAGGTCAGGGATAGTGCGAAACTGTGCTGGAAGAATGAGCTCGGCTTCGGCGCCGACGCGGGCTGAGATGAGATGGACGATGAACGAGAACGCCTCTGCTGGGTCGTATGAGCGCTGCTTGAACGCATCCCACATTGTCGGGAGCAGATTGTCATCCGCCGTGATGGCGTCCATGGTGAGCAGTATATCCTTGTCGTCCTGGTAGCGAGTAACAACTTGGTCCTCTTCCTCGCAGTCCATAAATGCAGAGTGCTTCCGGCATCCACGGTCGTCCGTAAAAACGGCCAGCCGACGAGACGATCGTCGAGTCGCAGCAGTTAAACTTGCCAGGATAGAAGTCAGCGAGCGACGCTTCCTCATCGTCACATGTGTGTCCTCAGGAACCGCATCACGGACTTCAGCAACGGCATATTATATGGGCATCGCGGCGAGACGAGCGGGGCAAGTGTGGCGGCAACGAAGAAGAAAACCCATCCAGAGACCAGAGATACGCTGATCCGTCCCATGCGCTCGTCGACGGCTGCAGTGAAGAAGCAGAGACCGATGAAGAACAGGCCGAGAGACATCTGGCGGAGTGCAGGAAGTATGGCTGCAATCTCGAAGACTTTCCATTTCTCGAGTCCCGACTTCCGGTACTGGCGTGCAGGAAGACGCTCCTGCGGGGCCGTGTATTCGACTGCGAGGTATTTTCGTAACCATTGTTTGACGAGCATGCTGAATGATGCGGTAGCGATGCTAGCGATGAGGCTCGCGAACCGGAGGCCGTTGACGCGGACGGCCCATAGCGGAGCTGTGAAGGGAAGACGAGCACGGGGTGGTTCGACAGTAGAATTGAAGGTTCCGGATGTGATGGTGTAGCTTTGGGTCTGGACGGCGATGCGCTCGAGTAGGAAGGTGATCTGGTCATTGAGGTCGGGCAGGAGGTCGGAGTACGACTCGACGACGAAGGCCGATAGGACAGCCGAGTATACAGACCAGCCTGTTACTAACCAGACACGTGATAAGAATACGATGTCAGCCAGATGCAAGGTGTATCTGTTTCGAGCATCCATCTGATGATGCGATCTGCTGTCCCGCACATCCTCGAGAGTTGTTAATGTCGGAGCTCACGAGCGGTATCTAGCGCCTTTCGTGCGTTCAGCGTTCCTGTATAACTCGCGTTATATGAGCAGCAGCTTCTAGAGCCAGAACCACATATTTTTCGCACAGCAGATAAACTCTTTTATTGGCAGGTGCGCGCCCTGCCAATTAGATTCGCGTTTCAGGGACTACCGCGGGAGTGTTCCGCATATAGCTGGTATGCCTTAGCGCAGCTTGCAAGACCCCGCCTCTCGCCATGTGTCTCTCTACTGGCCATCATCAGCTCAGCCATGGATCTTGAAGGTTTCGACGTAGCAGTGCTCATGAACACCAGGTCGTTTCATCTGATTATCAACACAGTGAATTGTGCAGGTAAGCCAACAGGATAATGTGTATCAGGTGCACATTCGTGGTTTCTTTGTGATATTGTGGCGACTCACTTCAGGCTCAATTTACGCAAAGTAAATGCCTGCCCATCAGTTTCTGAACGTTGCGGAATCTCTGAGTCTCGAGTTGTTCGTGCTTCCACCGACTTACGACCGCCTCCCGCCTACTAGCCTATCCTGGCGGCAATCCTGTAAATCATGTGCCAGCTTCTGCATCATGCTTTGATCCGCAATGGACGTCGCTTGGATTGGAAGGACTTCCCGTGGGCGCACAGTGCCTGGTACATGAACAGAAACGTGACCTTTTGCTGGTAAGACGCACCGTTCACACATGCCAGACCAGGAACCTGCGGTGCGATCATCTCAAACGTTCTCCTCGACCCAATACTGAAGGCTTCAAGTTGCAGGAGCGAACACACTATGTTGAGGTTTCGCCTCCGACGGGGATGGCAGACAATGGCAAAGACCGTGCGCGAGATCGACGAAGACAAGATCCGAGACTGCAAAGAAGATATCGACACTCTTCTGGTCTTCGTAAGTTCAAGCTGTGGCACTTCCTGATTGTTAGTAACGATCGCGCTATACAGACGATTCATGACTCACCGATTTGCCTGGGTTTGATCCATGCTTCAGGTGTGGCACAAGCCAGGCTAAGGTACGTGAGGAGGCTTCAGAGACTTCGAACAAAGAGCCAGTAAGTGAGCATAGTCAGCGCCGAAACATGCACTGAGTTGTAAATAGACTCCTATGTGATGGAAGATTAAGATGCCCGTACAGATAGCTCCTGACAACACACACACCCCTTGGCAGATCCATTCCGTGATGCATAGGGAGTATCATATACTTGCTCAAACTGGTAGTGTCGCTAAACGCTCGCGCTACTTGGGAGGAATCGGGACCATGCACTTGTTTGATGAGCTGCGCTGAGTCCGCGATGGTAGAAGAATTGCAGAGGGTGGGCACGGTAGAGAGTAAGGCGTCTAGCCGCGCGAGTCCGGAGGCATCTGATGGCGGTGATAGGTAACACCAAGAGCGCGCTCTGAGGGGCAGGTTGCTCTTGTTCTCGTCGGCCAGGTACAAACTCCGTCAGGGAAGCCTGTCCAACGCTGGGGAAGAACGGAGTCACCGATTGACCACCAGATGATCAGACACTAACTCGACATCTATATCCGCGGCCGATATCGCCCTGTAGAACCAAACCGAGTCTCCTCGCGATAGACAGGTGCGTCTGCATGATAACTTCTTGTACGAGTAGAATACCAAGTAGGTTTTTGTCTTTTCATAGTGCAATGTATCTCCAGGACAGGCACGCTTTGCTCCCGAGACGAGACAGCTAGGACGAGCAGATTGACAGTTGCAGTTACCGAAGCGAAGTCCTCCGCGAAGTCTCGAAGTTCGACTTAGTTTACTCGGCGGGGTGATACCGCTTTGCTCCTTTGCCCCTGGAACCAGCATTCTAACTGCCAACCCGCCACCGGAGGCATTGGACCCCGACGCCAGTCCGTGGCAGGCAGATCCACAGCGAGAGCGCCGTGTGGGATACGCGACTCCTATAAGAGCCACAACTGCCTCATCGCTGGCGGCCCGTCATCCACCTCGTGTGCCACTTCCACCTGAACTCATGCCTCTTCAGCTAGTACGTTACCTTGCAAGGGCTTTCTCTGACCTGCACCCTCTAACGAGTTTTGTTTAGAGGACCACAACGTTATCGGCAGCCGTCGCGACGGATGGAATTCGTTGCTACACCAAGACTGTCGACGGAGAAGTACGAGAGGCGCGGCATGGTAATACTGATGCTGAGGTAGCGAAAGCGATCCAAAGCCAAGACCTCGCTGCCGCGAAGCAAGATCAAGGATGGCTCCCAGGTGAGCATAGGCATTCAACGACAAGCGAGTCCGCTCTCATTGGCGTCTTACAGGTCTTCTTCGCTTCCATTGCAGTCCAGACAGCAGCCTCTGCGCTTTGGCTGTACGTTCCAAGCTGTAATTCCTCTGCCTACTGACCTCAGCCGCTGCACAGTGGGGACAAAGCCAACAAGCGATCTTCTATCAAGCCGAAGACTACACTCTGCGTCTCAAGCGGCGCGAGGCGGACGGTTGGGTGGATACCGATTTCTTGCAAAACGACGTTCTTCCCGGCAGTAATCTCGCGACTATGCATTCTGCGAAAGGCGATCGTGTTATGATCATTTTTCAAGACAAAGAGGGATATCTCTGCTATCGGTATGAGCGTTGTCGTTTGTTCATGTCTACACTCGTTCATGTTGGCTTTAGTTGTGCTGACAACTGGAAATGGGACACGGCCGCCACCCGCATATGTCAAGCTGTGAATTGCACCGGCATTGGTGCTACATCTTGGAACGGTTGGTCGCTG